GACATGATTAGGCCCCAAAAACGTACTAAAAAACCAAGCCCTATTTATGAACCTCAATTGAATGTGGGTGTAACTAAATCCCTGGTCGAGGGTAATTTCGGATTGTACTTGGTTTTAGGTGAGTTTATCGTCCCCAGAAAACCAAAAGGTTTTCTCTACTTGTCCAAAACTCCACTAGCGTAATAGAGCGTATAGCCCTGCCCGGCGAAAAAAATTCGGGAGGAGTCTTAACCACCGACATGTCGTGGCACTGTCGTCCACGATCTCCCATGGGATATTCACCATCCGGGGTGAAACTTTAAATCCATCAAACACAGATAATACTAATTATAATTTGTATGCTTTCTAAAAATTTATTAGAATGTACAACTGTAGCATGTAATGCTCAAATGCTTTTAAGTAAGATGCATTTTGTTAAACTTTGTCATATTCGAGTTTTTATATTTTTTTAAACTTATAAAATATATTAATAAAATATTACTTACCCATCAAGGTCAGTAGGCTTAAAATCTCCTTTTCCTATAAATTAAACAATATTAGTAAAATCGTCACCTGAGAATTATAGTGTTCTATCTGCATTTTCTTTTTTTTATTCAGGTTAGTCTTGTTTTAAGTCTTAAAGATGATATTGATCTATCTATATATAATTGGGGTAGAAATTGTAAAGTTTAAGGCTTAAACTGTACAATTTCTACCCCAATTATATATATTATATATATTAGGGTGGAGTGAATTTTTTTAAATTTATTAATTGATTTTTCCTATATTATTAATTGTTGACTAAAGGCGTAAAATGAATAAATATCGAAAAAATATTCCAATTTTTTAATATCTTGAGGTGGCGCATCTGTCTCGAAGTTTTGAAAATTCTAAAAAAATATTACTTTAATCAAAGTAATAAAAATAGCATTATTTATAAATAAAAAGTTTATTTTAGTAAAATTAACATAAAACGTAAACATATTTAATAGTAAATCATATGCTTTAAGTAACTTCAGGAGTGTTTATTGGTAGAAATGAGATCTTCTTTTTCGCGAAAATACTAACATTTGGTATCAAAATTTGGTAATTATTTTCTGACTTTAATTCTTGTTCTGATGAAACCATTTCTTGCTTCCGATCCACAAACCGAGACTGAAGATTCAGTATACTGGTTATAACCAGTTTTACACAGCGTTCCACTGCTTGGGTGTGACACTGAAATTTTTGGAAGTATAGGAAATGGTCACCCGAAGAAATCATATCGGTAATTTCTGTCATCGTATTTCATAGTCATAGGTGGTTCAGTCACCTTTTCTGTCGCCCAGTGAATTAACTGGTACAAACGTAATGCTTCAGTATTTAGTTGTGGAAGCTTTAATTCCCGTAATCTCGAACATTTTGATTCTTTTCTCGCCTTTAATATTTTCGGCAATGCTAGTTCTCTGATCGATAGATATATTGTAGGTAACATAGCAAGTAATAGGTTTTCGGGATAAATATTTCGCTGAATATTCTTTATAACTATAGTTATAAGGCCTTCAAGTTTTTCTGGAGATGTAATGCTCTTTTAGTCATATTAAATATGTGAATAGGATCATGTTTGCACGTAGGCTTGGTGTTGTTGTAAAACCACGTTGGGGCATACACTTTCATGATAAAAGTAGCCAATTCTTTTAGGTTTTTCGATGGATTTGCTGTCCCCCCATATAAACGAATAATCCTATTAACCCACGTCAGCCATAGGGAATGTGCTAGCTTGCCTGGATCTTTGTAAGCTATAGCTAATATTTATCCCGAAAACCTATTACTAGCTATGTTACCTACAATATATCTATCGATCAGAGAACTAGCCTTGCCGAAAATATTAAAGGCGAGAAAAGAATCAAAATGTTCGAGATTACGGGAATTAAAGCTTCTACAACTAAATACTGAAGCATTACATTTTTACGAGTTAATTCACTGGGCGACAGAAAAGGTAACTGAACCACCTATGACTATGAAATACGATCACAGAAATAACCGATATGATTTCTTCGGGTGACCATTTCCTATACTTCCAAAAATTTCCGTGTCACACCCAAGCAGTGGAACGCTGTGTAAAACTGGTTATAACCAGTATACTGAATCTTCAGACTCGGTTTGTGGATCGGAAGCAAGATATGGTTTCATCAGAACAAGAATTAAAGTCAGAAAATAATTACCAAATTTTTATACCAAATGTCAGTATTTTCGCGAAAAAGAAGATCTCATTTCTACCAATAAACACTCCTGAAGTTACTTAAAGCATATGATTTACTATTAAATATGTTTACGTTTCACGTTAATTTTACTAAAATAATTTTTTTATTTATAAATAATGCTATTTTTATTACTTTGATTAAAGTAATATTTTTTTAGAATTTTCAAAACTTCGAGACTGATGCGCCACCTCAAGATATTAAAAAATTGGAATATTTTTTCGATATTTATTCATTTTACGCCTTTAGTCAACAATTAATAATATAGGAAAAATCAATTAATAAATTTAATAAAATTCACTCCACCCTAATATATATGCATCTTTAATACTTAAAACAAGACTAACCTGAATAAAAAAAAGAAAATGCAGATAGAACACTAAAATTCTCAGGTGACGAAATGTCTAAATATGTTATTACCAAAAAAATTTTATTACCAAATTTAAATTCGTACTTTTATTAGAGTAAAACAAGCTAAGGCGAAATAATGATTTAAAAATGCAGACGTGCTTATTAGGCTTTAATACCACATTTTTGCTTCATCGCATTTTCTGGTTTCAAGATACTTTGCGAACGAACTTCGCAATTAACCGCTGCATTTTTAATTTCATACTTTTTGCCGAAACTTATTTACTCGAACTATAATTATTCATCGGGGCCGTAATACCCTTGTATATCAAACGTTTTTATCCTTTTTATTCTGCGGCATATAAGTACTTTGAAATTAGCACACTTAAACTAAAAAAACTCGCTCGAAAAACAATGGACAACATGTTTCTCGCATTAAAGCGTCAAAATGATTTATTCATCAGGGATGAAAATATTAAGTGAGATGGCTCTATTAAATTTAGTGTAAAAAGCTGTTTTAAATAATAACAGAGAGTAAAAAAATCGGGAACTAGAAAATTCGCTTATATATCATTTTTATGCGTCCTGAGTATATCTATCATTTAAATTACCTACGGGTTATATCGCTCTTGTATGAATTATTAGTTTCATGTATCATTGTTTTAAAACAGCATGAAATGCAATTTAGCCATACGAGGAAATCCTTTGAAACTTTTACGCAAAAATTCAAAGACTATCCTGATTTTTACCCATTTATTTTAGTTTAATAAAAACAACAGCAATAACGTACCACACAACTTTAATTAATCCTCCATTGATAAACTGTGACTTTATGGTGTTTAGTCACGGGCTGAAGTTAGCAACAGTGGCTTTTGGGCATTTTACTCACGGGCTGAAGTTAGATTTTTAATAAATTGGTGAAAAGTTAGGTTAAATCCGGTGACAGTTGACAAATGTTTAACAAATAAGAATGGCTTTAAATTGTTCTATGTGTTCGTCGTAAATAAAGTACAGTCTGCAACTCATTTTATAAACTTCTCTAGATAGGTACTCGTTTTTAATAAACACTAGCTTGCAAGCTTAGCCTAATAAAACTAAAATGGCGTTATACAACCTGATTTATAATATTTTTTTTTCTACTCCCACCTTTAAAACGCCCTTTATCGTACATGTTTCCATGACACTAACACATTAACAAGTTGTGGCTTTATGGCGCTTTAGTCATGGACTGAAGTTAGTTTTAAGTTAGTTGACAGTTGTAAAATGTCATACAATCGTTAAAATAAAGTGCCTTTCTTGTAAAATAATACTAAATGTGAAAATTATTTTATTATCTCAATACAAAAATACAAAAGTATTAAATAGTAAACTATAACTTAAATTCGGGCACGGACTCCACTGTATAGTCCTCATAAAACAATTTCTTTACTTTTACTGTGAAAAACTGTCAATTTTCAAGAAATACATTTCGATTTATAACCTTTATAATCTGTGTTTACAAAATATAAAAATGTGACATTTGACGGTTACACACAGATTCCCCTATTGTTTCATAGATGGCGCTCTATACAAGTTTTTGATTTAAATTATTTTAAGATAATAATAAGTATTTTTCGTTGAAAAAGTTTAGTATGCAGCTCGTTTATAAACTTTTCAATATAAAATGGCGTTTATCAAACTTGATACATAATATTCCTACATTGACGAGCTGTATTTAGTCACGGGCTGAAGTTAGCAACAGTGGCTTTTAAGCTTTTTAGTCACGGGCTGAAGTTAGCTTTATTATAAATTTGGAAAAAGTGAGGTTAAATTTGGGTGACAGTTGACAGATGTCAGATTTGTAAGAAATAAAATTGGCTTTAAATTCTATTTTGTGTTTGTCGTAGATAAAGTATAGTATGCAACTCGTTTATAAACTTCTCTAGACACTCGTTTTTATAAAACACTCGCTCGCAAGCTTCGCTCGTGCTTAATTAAACTCGTAACTAAAATAGCGTTTATTAAACTTGATACATAATATACTATTATATACTCCTACATTTACGATCTGTGACTTTATGGCGTTCGATCTGAAGTTGACAACAGTGCCTTTTGGGATTTTTAGTCACGGGCTAAAGTTAGCTTTATTATAAATTGAAAAATAGTGAGGTTTAATCCGAGTGACAGTTCCCAGATGTAAAAAAATTAACATTTAAAATTGGCTTTAAATTCGTCGTAAATAAAGTATAGTATGCAAATCGTTTTATAAACTTCTATAGATACTTGTTCCTATTAAACACTCGCTCGCAAGCTTCGCTCGTGCCTTATTCAACTCGTAACTAAAATGGCGTTTATAAAACTTAATACATAATATTCTATTCAACTAAAAACTAAAAAAAGCAAGAGGCATGGCTATTTTTATTGAATAGTATGTTTACCAAAACCAATACTTACTTGAAAAACAGCACTTTTCAGTTCTAATAGCGTAGATGCAAACGCAAATTAACAGTAAAAATGCTACCAACATCACTCCAGCTACGGTAACCAGCGTGCTCATTTGCAGAGGTTCTAAAAACAAACAAAAATTTAAATTTATAATTTATAACGCTTAATAATTTGACGTTATTTAAAGACAAAGGAAGTCATAATTAAATAAAAAGAAACTAAGGAGTAATTTAAAGGTACTCACCCGTGAAAAATTAAAAACCAAGAAATGAAAAGTTTTTAACTCAAAATATTTAAATTTCGGCAGTATAAAGATTTAGCATGTTTAATGACATAGCAGGCTTTTCTTTAATTTTGACGAACTGCATTTATTATTCGAGCAAGAGTCACACCTTTTTGAAATGTATTTAATTAAAGTTTCTTTAAAGTTCCGAATTGAGATTTGAAAGGGATAAATTTTGAATTTAGCCGTCCGCAAGCCGATGGTCATGATTAATCTCTTTTATTAAGGAACTAAATTTCGTAAATTAAATTTTAAAGTCGAGCAAATTATGCGAAGTGTTTCTTTCACTTTTATCACACTTTTTGGGCAATTAATGAATACCAGCAAGATTTTTAATTAAAATTTAAAGAAGTAGGTAATCTCATCAGAACTTGGCTACTACATTAAAACCCATTATTTTTACACTTTTAATTAAAAACCAACAACAAAGTGCAAACGTGTCTGACAACTAAGTTTTAGCTAGCTATGTTTTATACTTAATTTTGCTTACCATTAACATACAGCTGTACAGCATGTCGGTCTGTACCACGATCATTTTCTACGGCTAAATAATATGCTCTGGAGTCGGTAGCAGAAGCATCTTTAATGTGAAGAGTGGCTAAATAACAGTCTTCTCTTTCTTCTTGAACAACGTCGTCAACCTTGTATTTTCCTGAAAACATAACATACAAATATTGACGTAATTTAGTTTTAACAAATAAATCTGTATATTTATTTGGCTAAAATTAAATGGTTTAGAACCAAAAATCTAGACATATTTTGTAACATCCACCCACTTCTATTCATATATTTGTTATATATTATAATTTTTCTAAAATACTACAAAGTCAATTTTTAGGGAAAATATATTGTGTTATTATTAATATCATTTTTTGTCACCCAAAATTCGACAAAACTGAACCATGCAGCATGAAAAGTTTGCTCTTGAAAAGTGAAAAACTTTCCAAACAATAATAAAAAAATGTAAAAGCACGTTGAGGACTAATAAAAAGTAAAGTAATGGTGGCAGTTTCGCTTTTTCCACAGTATTTATGGACTAAATGGCATCATGAAGGCGACCGCTGCACAAATATTGGTCATCCCGATTGGCCGGTATCCTTAATGCTCTGAGCGTATATGGATTTACTAAAGATACCACGACACGATAAAACATACTGCGGTTCTGTCAAAAAGTTTATAACTGTAATAAATGTTTAATTATTAAACTTTTTAAAGTTATTAAACTTTTTAAAGTTATTAAAATATATAGATTGGGTACGATATATTAAGGAGGATTTCCATTATTTTGAGTAAAAAAATCCATTATTTTTAAATATAAAATATTAAATATATCTGGAAAAAATCCGAAACTTTTAACTAACAGATACATTTTGGGTAGCGGACTAGATGCTAAATTTGTTTTTTAACTTTCCTAAAATTTGTGGCGCTTTAAAAGATGACTATTATAAACATTGATTTATTAAATTAAAACATTCTTGTCATGTGAAACAAAAAATCTATCAAATTATTACATTAATTAATATAATAAATTTATTAATATTAATCAAAATGCAAATGACATGGCATATAATAAATATAATAATAACGATAATAATATAAATCTTAATGATAATAATAATAACAATTTATTTAATCGAAAGACGACAATTGTATAGAACAGGTCAGAAAAGGAAAAATAGTTTGTATTGCTTCGACCTTTACTTGATGAACTATATGTCACTAATGCATAATGACAAAACACTTTTTTTACAAGTTTAGGTTTAAGTAACTTTTTCAAAAAGCTTTGTTTGCGAAACGATTGTCAAAATTAAAATAACGTGAAACTTAAAAAACAGTGTTGTGTTTTTATACATTTATCCATTAGTACAAATTAGTTAAAATACATAAAAATTAACAACACTTAAAACCAAGTAAAATACATTAAACTATTTTATGGTATAAAAATGTTAACTTAAAAATATTTTTTATACTCCCACCTTTCAAGCAGCGGCGTAACTAGAAAAAGTGCCACCCGGGGCAGCAGTGGCTGTCGCCCTCATGTTTTTTTTTTGGGGGGGGAAGAGAGGTTAGGTTAGGAGTCAGTTTTGAGGACCGTAGGCAAAATTAAAAATATATATTTATATATATAACATATATATATAACATTAAATTGTAATATTTAAAGAATTAAAAACAAACAAAAATTCTTAGACCTAGGTAAAGAAAAACAACAAATAAAATGTGCTTTAACATAATTTATATGAAAAAAACAAAGAGATAAATTCTCAACCTTATGTAAAAGTACCTACAAAAAAAACTTAAATCTGAGTAAAAAATAAATAAAAATGTTTAAATATTTAGAAAAAAAAACAATAGATACATTCTTGATAAACAAAACAAAACTTATATTTTGCAGTGGTCCGGCAGATTTTCTCGAAAACCTTTATTGGTAACTTATGTCGGCGGTAGACTGATTACACATCAAAGGTACAATACCGGTCTTGTTTCTATTTTTTGCTAGCTTTATTTGATTTGGAATATTTTGGGAGTAATTGTATAAATCTCAAATCTATTGGAATTTGAATTATGGGCGAATTTTCGTTAAATGTACATTTTGTATACATATTTTGTCCAGGCAGGTCAATTTGATCGATTTTTTTTCCTTTGTGATAGAACAGTGTAATATACTGCAAAAAAATTCTATAAGTTTATAAATAACAAAAATAAACTTTATAGAAATAAAACTTATAGGGTTAATCTGAAATAGGGAAGGAAGACAAGGAAGAAATGAAACATTGTCCTCCTCCTAACGCATCTTCCTGAACCTTTTATGACACATTGCTTTTGACTTTTTCAAACGTTATTTTTCAGAAATACTGTTAAATGTAAATATCTTTCGGCATTTGTTTGGAATTTCTACTATGCTTTAATACAAAATGAATATAAAAAAGTTAACAAGAGTTGTATGTAGCGTTTTGTAAAAGACACCAAAAGTGTACGCAAAAAAATTTTACCTTTAAAATATTTACAAAAAAATTCACACACTTTACACGTGCTCATTTGTTGTTGCCGAACTATCAAACATGTATGCCCTCTAGAAATAACACGATAGTATCTCTATCTCATGTCTCTATTTCGAAGTAGTCGGCATAGAAGACGACGTTAGGAAAAAGACAAGAGTTTTGAATGTCAACTTTAATATTTTTTTCTGATTAAACTACTTTGTAGAAAACTATTTTATTTTTATATACGAATAAAAGAACTTTCCATTGTTCAAAAATAATTTATTTTTTTAGAAGAAAGCTGCAGTTAGGTTACAGGACATTTCAACTAGTTTTTCTGCCATATATAGAAACACAAAGTAATTAAAAAACAAAATACGATGGGTCCCAACAGGAAGGGGGTATTTAAATATAATAAATACAAAACTTATCAACAAAGGTCAAAAATAAAAATAAAATTAGCTGGGGACAGCAAATGTACATTTAACGAAAATTTGCCCTTATATTATTTCGAAAGAGAATATTTAATTATCAAATATTTTTTTTTATTTTTATATTCTGTCTTCCAGTTTTTTTCGCATTTTCTCTCACGATTTTTGCCGCCCCAAGAAGTGCCGCCCGGGGCGGACCGCCCCCCCCCTAGTTACGCTACTGCTTTCAAGCGCCAATTATCGTACATTTTATGCACAAAATAATAGTTTTACCTATTGTTATCTTTAATGTCTTTTTATTAAAAACATCTTAAAATTTTAAGAATTTGCCACTTCAATATCGGCATTGGATGATTCTATTACTTCGGATATATCTAAATCTCAACACCAAATAAATATATATTTCAAAGTTATTGGGCCGTAAAGTTTACAACCAACATGATTTTAATAATAGTTAACATGTCAAACATCTGCAAAACGACTAATCAAATTGAAACAAAGTTTTATGCTTTGCAACGTTTTATGCCTTTTATTGAAATGGGTATACTGAAAGGTGCTTTCGTGTCCGAATTTGCAGTAAACGCGATAACATTGCATGAAAGTTCCGCTTTTTAAATTAACAAACGTAAAATAACAAAATATTTTTGCCGTTCAGCTACGAATGGTATCTTGCGACAGACTTAATGAATTTTCAAGTTTTATGAGCTTTTAGATAACCTTTATTACGGCAAATTGTAATTAAACATTTTCGAAATAATTTTAGTTTTATGGCAACTTTGTTGCATTTTATTCTTCCTATTTATAATTATGAAATACCTAACTGTTATTAATCTATTAAAATATAATTAGGTTTTCATAGTTTTAGGTACGAGTAGGCAAATACAACATTGAACAATAACGATCAATTTTCATTTTATACGAGGCGTAAAACGTTACTGTACAGCTTTATTTCAAAGTTATCATCAAAAGTTGAAAATTTTACGATTAGTGCTCAACATATGATTTTATATGTTGGAAAAACAATGTAAACTCGCTAAAATTTTAAAAATAAAAGATTTCCTTATTAATAAAGCTAGTTGGGAAAGGGAGAGCAGCAAATATTTGTGAGTTCAGGTTGAAAGAGGAATTTTAGAATGTTGGCCGCTTTATAATGGATATTTTTTATTTACAAAGATTTATACAGATAAACTAATAAAAAATTCTAAAACCTTCTCTCTTAAAATAAAATAGTCAAAATTTTTGACTTAAAAATAACCAATTATAAGTCATATTTGACTAATTGTCATATCGAAAAAGCAGTCAATAATAATAAATCAAATTCTACCGAATGAAATGGTCTAATTGGTTGATTTAAAATTTGACCCAGCCGGGACATGGTTGTCTAGAAACCTACTTTTTAGGTCAAAATTAATTGGTGATATTATTAATTGAAATAGAGCTCTAATTGTTTTAATTTGCTCAGAAATAAATATGAACAAAAGTAATTTATGCGTAGGTACCATATTTTTTCTTACAAAGCAGTAAACTTTCTAACAAACGTACTAGTCGCTTTTTTAGGTTAGCTCTTGTTTTCGAGATATTTAAAATTTAAATTGTAGATCCAAGCATCACAAAAAAAAACATTATTTTTCTCATTTTAAAACCACTTACTGATTATGAATTGATAAAAATCGATGGAATACAAATTATTAACTTTAGGTATAGGGAATAGTAACATCAATCGAAAGGTTTTTTAATTTACTATTTCATTAGGTAAAAAAATACTGTTTTTTACATTTAAAATAAAAAAGTTATTAACCTTTCAAGTTAGCCTAATTTGCCCTGGGTTTTCTCAGGTGATTTGTTAAAAAATGTTAAAGAATTGACGATTTAAACAATGTTTTAAGATTTCAAAAATTCCACTTCATATTCGCAAACCTAATACAAAAGTTATAGGCTATTTTTGATTGACGCGCAATTGTCAAATTTTAACCAAATTAATAACCCTAAAACTATTCACTTTAGTATAGTAATTTTAATCAGAATTTTATGTAGAATTTAAAAATGTAAGAATATATGGGGTATTTTATTTAAAATAAAAAAGTTGATGTCACTTCCGGGTAAACCGGAAGTAGCATTTTGTTTAAAATATTTTAAAAAAATATACTTAAATGGATTATAAACGCTTTTAAATTTTTAAATCGATATTTTTTTTTCGTTCTCCAGAAACTTCTAATGTATGTGAAACACCCTGTATATAT